ATCTTATGAAGACAATTAAAGACATTAGACATTAAATTTTGCGTTGTAAAACAAGAAATTAGATTAAACTTTACATTACATACATTAACATTAACAATTACAATTATATTTTGACTTTCGTGACAGCCTTCTCTTGACTTTCATTCATGCAATATCATGCTTTCTTTTAATCTTCAAATTGCGTTATAAATGACGTTGACGCGCATACTTAGCGTAATCCACGACCATGTATGTTTTTTCGCTGTAAATGCGAATACTTAACTTTTAGATCTGTAAGTAGTATGCTTATTCAAGAAACCAAAGAGTAAGAATTTAATATAAAAGTATAGATTCCCAAGTAAACATCAATTTGCATTAAAAAATGTTATTGATTTGGAATCAGAAAAATTACGAAGGGAGAAACAAGTGTTGAAGAGTAAATATATTTTTATGTGGTGTCTTTTGATATGTTGACTACGGAGAATGTGAAGTACGAAAAATATGTGCAGTCCTTCGAGGAAGACGACATTTTTGACAAACAGTTTCATCTGATACGGAAACATCCAAGCCTCGTTCGCCGGTATAACTCGATGGAGTTAGCCGCATGCTGCACACACTCTCTCACTCTCATTATGAACCGATTCGACGAAGAAAAAACGAGGTGATGCGATTGAGACAATTATCAACGTCCGCTGCCAAGTTTCATCTCGTGGCGTAAACCGCCAGATACTTTTTACTCTGGAACCTCCGCCGTGATGCCGCTCGCGTACATGCATATGATTTAATACGTTCATGATAAGAACCATTAAATATGAACCAAATATGAAATTTATCACAAAAACATGACTAATGCTCGATTCCACCAACGCAGATTAATTTTAATCTCGGTTCAACTTATTCTTCATCTTTTTCTAGTTCTAAGAATTAAAAAAAGATGAAGAGCAAGTTAAACTGAGATTAAAGTAAATCTATGTTGGTGGAATCAGACATTAAACGCAGTTTGTTAACTACCGATCGACGATTCGCCTTTGACCTGTGTGACACAAATCTGACATGAAGGACATCGTAATGTTACGTTTACTTTTACATAATTGAAACATCTATTAATTTCTCTTTATATATGTTAAATTTAATGATTAAATTTTATTTATATTTATTATTTGATTTTTATTTGGATTTAGATATATATTTTATATTTAATTTTTTTTATATAAATGTAATAGATATATTCGAATTTCTCAGAAATATTTAGATTTCAGTTACATCATTATTATATTATTATTATTACATTTTTACATAGTTATATCACTATTTTTATTTTTAATTACGTAAACGAATAAGAATTATAGAGCAGACTTATTATTTCTTATTAAATTTGTAAGTTTAATATTTTTATATCTTCATAATCAGTCAGTTATTGTATCATCAATACGTTATCTGGTATTGATTTTGTTATGATATCGTCTTTGCTTTTGAAAAGTGAAACATAATTGTCGACAATTCAACAATACATTATTCCTCTAAATTATTTTTCCATTTAATTTTGCGGAAATCACGCGATGTGTTTTGTGTTAGATTTCAACATTACAACATTACAGTGTTTGTAAAATACTTTACCGAATTCTGAATCGTAAATCTTTATATTGAAATAATAAAATATGTATGTTCAAAAACATTACATTTCAAATTAGTTTTTTTATATTAAAACATACTGACTTCAGGGAGTGTCGATTTAAAATATAAAATAGATAAAAATTTAATTATTTATCGATTCATTTTTATTTATTTTGATTAATATAGACATTTTTTGGGATGGCATTACATAGGTATATCACATTTATAGATAATTGAACTTAATACGGCAACATAATACGGGTACATAATCTCAGCAACAAATTCGTATCGTTCACGTCAACAAAAGAGATGGAAGAAACTGGAGAAAAAAATATCGAAAACTCTATCGGCCCTATTGATACGTACGAGTGCGACTTCCTTGTTCTTAACTCGGCTAAAGTTTAAACCCTCAAAGCAAGATGACAATGAGCTTGAGAGTGATCGAGTTCAATACGAATCGTCGCCACCACCAAATAATTCATGAAGTCCTATGTCTTCCATAGAAGATTACTCCATCATCAGCGAACATGCCAGTTCTGAAGAAATTGACCGCATTGCTCTGCGTATTAACGAAGATTTTATCAAAAACATTCTCACGGAACACAGAAGACGTATGGGCTGCAAATCACAAGTCTGAGAAAATCTCGAGTCGGACAAAACGAGTGAGATAAATACGGAAATGGTTCCCGCTATCAAGTCAACTCTATCTGTCGTTCTGCATAAGACTCTGACGTCTCTGGATGTATTTGAGCGTAGGCTGGACACGTCTCTTACTCTGAGGAAACAGGGATTCGTCGCGAGTGAACTCGAGCTACAATTGGATTTTTGTCCGTTGCTGCAGCACCAGTTGATCCGGTACTCACCCGAGATCAGTTTCTGAATACCTTTGTGAAGGATGATTATAAAGAAATTCTGGAGCATCCCTCAATCTTTCTTACATCTCAAGTGGCGTAAAATCCGAAAATATTACACCAAGATTATTTTTCTATTTGTTTTATGTGTTGATCCTTACGAGCTGGGTGATAATCGTCCTCGCATATAATTGTTACAACGAGATTGTTACAACAAAAATACATGCACATCCCGCCATTGTGCAAGAATGCGACCGGGATGTATGGCTTTTTTTTATGAACACCGTGTGGCGCTTGAGATCCAGTGGTATGCGCTATTGGTGCTCCATACTCGAGGTTTGTCGTTCAAATTTATTGTCATTCCCAGTTATGAAACGGTCAGACAATTCGTTACACAAATGGAGAATCTGTTTGAATGGTACGTAATCCTAGATATGTTTGCCACTTCCTTCATATATATATATGGGAAGAACGTATACTTGGCAAAGTTATGTAGGCGCCTTCGCCTCTCTGGTTGGAGCAATCTGATGTTGATGACCGGGCAATTACCGGCGTTCGGTGCTTACGTTGCCATGTTCACCAGCGTGCAGGCACAAGTATTCAAACTGCTTTTGGCCTATTTCTGTTTACTATTAGGCTTCACTGCAAGCTTCTGTGTGATTTTTCCGCATTTCAACTTGTTCAGCAGTCCGCATACGGGTCTCATTAAGATTCTCGCAATGATGACTGGTAAAGTAGGCTCCGAGGACTTTTCTTTCAAACGACAAAGGCGGCTTTACAAGAACATCGGAGGAACTTCATGGATTCTGCTGCAGATCTCGGCCCAAATCCCTTTCGTATTGTTTCCTCCTGTTTGTGACGATCGTGTTGATGAATTTGTTGATCGGTATACCGGTGCATGATATTAAGAGTCTGCAAAAAACCGCGGGCCTCGCAAAGCTTGTTCGCCAGACAAAATTTATTTACGATGTAGAAATTGCGATTTTCCTGGGATTTACGCCGTTTAAACGTTTCGTCAAGTCAAGTGCATGCGATGGATCGCATTATTCCTCCCGTCACCTTACGAGCCGTTCCTAACTGTTCGTCCATTAAACCCCCAGAGAGAAGAGATTACCACGCGATATTCTCTCAGCCGTGTAATAAAATAGCGAAGGAAGGAGATAGACAGAACAGTTTTTCTAGCACGCAAGAAAAGTTATGGACAGACCTGTTTCACGAAAGCCTATCTGAAAGCCGACGCGCATCGTCAATGTTGCATGTTTAACAACGACACGTTGCAACGCGATTGCAACAAATTCAAAGATGACATCGCGGAACTTAAGGGAATTTGCGAAAAAAGTCAAATTTTTCTTCAAGAACTTATAAAAAGCGCAAAGTAATAAAATAAATAAATAAAATTGCCAATCATAAGACGTTGGAAATATTTGGAATTCACAACCATTCGAAATTTAAAATTCGATTACGAGGCAACGATAAGAGATTTTAAAACTTGGGACTTATAGAACATGGCATCGATGCATCATGAATAATTAAAATGTCACGAATTAATTATCGTGTTTATCTTTTATCTCTTCCAGCAAGCATTTTGCTATATAAATTTGCTTTGCTTACGAGTTATTGCTTGAGTTCTGTGATACAAATGGTTGTGTGCAATATCAGTTGAATTTAATTCCATCCATTTTCATATATATGAATTTTTTTGATAAGCATTAGAGACTTGCATAATTTTATGCATAATAGATTCTGTGTTTAAATAATTAAAGTGTTTTGCTTTGCCGCAGTAGTTGTATGAAATCCGAAGAAAAAATTTTATAACTAAATCTTCAATTTTCTAAAATATATGCATACGTATTTTTCAAATATAAACTTTTGGTACTTAGTATACTTAGTATGTATTTAGTATCTAAAAAAGTAAAATGAATTTCGTGACGTGAATACAAATGTATATTGAAGAGACCTTAGAAAAAGCAGGACATTCTATTTATATTTGTCCTAAATCTTTATACTTATACAATAGTCTTTATATAATGTCTTTATATAATAACTTTTGTCAGAAAAATTTGCTTGGTTTTGAAGATACGTACAAAGTCTAATCTAATTATCCAGATATCTTTAGATTTTGATGTAATTTGATTTGTTGTGTCACATTTGATTACTTTCTGCTAGTATATTTTGATATTAGTTTTTTTTATCTTTAATTCTTTATTGTATAAATAAATAATAATTTTTTTACTTGTTTTTAAATTACATTTAATTAATTAACTTAAATTACATTTGATTCTGGATAAGTATAATTAGATACATTATTATTGTCAGATTTTCTAGAATTTATTTAGGTGCTTCATACTGTATTAATTTGTGCAGTACAAAATAAAAATGCAACATACAACATATAAAACAAAAATTTGTGTAGTTCAAAAACAATTTATCTCATAGTTTATATCATTATCTTGTGTTTATATGACTGTGTTCCAATTTTTTTATATTCGAGAT